ACAGGCCTAGAGAAATCAACAATCAACTCAGTGATTATATTTTTGGCCCAGAGATGCTTAGGATTTTTAGCTGTCCATGTATCTGCCGTGAGGATCCAAAAAAGGAGCCAGAAATACTGCATGGTTATGGGCCTGCCAGAATGAAAACAATATCCTTCCTTGAGGGATAGATCATTTCGATTGTATTGAAAAGTATGGAAAATAGGGGAATTATTATTAAAAATTAAAGAAAAAAAAAAGAGGTGGACTTAATGGGTTTTGTATAAGCTTGGACCACCCCATTTTGGCTGACATAGCTCTGGAATAGATATCCCAGAGACATCCATCACATGCACTCAGATCAACAGATCATAGGATGCACAGCCAAGCCAGTGCATCTAGGAAGGAAAAGAGCTTCTGTGCATGTACCAATCAGGTCACTTATATACACACAACTACTCTGTTGCAGCATAAACGTTGGAACTACTTCATACATCCTGCTCACCTCAGCACTACAAATAAAGACACATTCAATTCTCCACATGGTCCTCTACAGCCTGAAAGACTTTCACGCTGTGTATCACCGAACAACAGAAACACACACTTGGTGGCTTGTTTGCATTATTAAATGCCTGCTCAAGCCTTTGAGCAGTTTATTTGTGAGCTTGTTATTTTTATAAGAATAAAGGAATAACTAAAACATTAGCTGATCTAATGTGCTCAAAGACCAAGGCAGCATGGTACTGCTTCTTGCCAATGCCAAGGCTCTTGTCTGCACACATTGCCTCACTGTCTCATGGGCTCTGTCTACTCTGTCTCTAAAATGTTTTTAGAGTTGGTCATTTCTGACCTTTTCAAGTAATATATATCTGGGGTAATCAGATCCTCTCTCTCATCTCAGGTTAAAAATCCTCATCATTTCCATTTACAGGAACCTACACAAAGTCATGACTCTACTCAGTGATTTCCGCAAAATTTAGTCTATTTATTATTTAGATTAAGGCACCAGATCTCCACTCATTCTCCCCAGGGCAGATGCTGGAGTTGAGCATATCCGAATGTTCCTTATTCAGAACCTCTAGGAACAGAGCAAGAAACTTCCAGGGCAGATGGGCCGAACAATCTAGTCATTTAACCTACTTACTGTTTTATCACTCTGATCTGTTCAATTATCTGTATTAAGCATTTTTAAAACTGTATAATTACAGGAACCATGCAATAGTATCTAAACTGGATGGTAGCTATCAATTTAATCTCAGTAAATGATACTTTAAATAAGGTATGTGGTCTCTGTGCACTCATAGTAAGTGCCATATTCCTGAACCAGGAAAGGACTGAGGTTTCTTTCTTTTTTTTATAAGTTATACAAATTTATTTAACGAGAAATATCTTAATGCTTTGTAAGCCATGAAGCTTTTGGCTTCTTAGAAGAAGCTGAAATATATAGTTTATGCGGAGATCAACAAAGGTTATTTACTTAAACTAAAGCTAATTTCAGTGTGCATCACTCCTTGTGAAGCGCCTGAAGGAAAAATTCCTAAGTCACGGTACAGGAACCACTAGTGGCATGTAGACTTCTTTAAAATCTACATAGCCTTGCGCTTGTTAAGATCATGTACTACCACTGTTGGCAAGGGGTATATGTGGTCATAAAATAGTGCTCAATTTAAAAAAAAAAGAGAAAGAGAAAAAAAAGGAATCCTGGTATGCAACATCTCTAAATTGTATAGAAATACTAAATTACAAGTCTCTCTTAATTTTTGCTATTGTTCTTTTTTATTATGTTATTTTCTGAAAGAATAACTTCACAGCTGGCAGAAATCAATATCATAGTTTTTTTAAAACTGACCACAACACTAAATTTTCTATTTTGCTATTTTAATATAAAGTCTTTTGTATGTGTATTGCTATATTACTGATTTTGTTTCCTGCATCAGAGAGCTAAAAGAACCATAATATCATAATACAATTTTTCTCTCATATCCCCTAATTCCTAATTCCTAGGTGACAGTAGTAGTAACTCATAGAAATTATTTGCTCATAGACTGTAGTTTCTGATTTTATCATGACATAGTTATTTCTATACATATGCTAATGATTTGGAAGCTCAGCTATTTACTTCAGGACACTTTAAATGTCCTGACTTGCACTTTACCATTTGAGCTGTGTATTTTAATTAGTTTTTGTACAGAGAAATGCTTTGTCCAGGATGATTATATGCTGAAAAAAAAAAGTTTAATTTTTACAAGTGCTTTCAGCAGAGTTTCGAGGGAAGGGAGAAGCAGAAACACCCTCCTGGCTGCTCCTGGCTGACATGAGAGCTGTGTCCAGCGACCCCAGATCAAGGTGTTCATTGCAGGACACCCACTGCCTGGGTGAGCCTGCAGTTGGCAGTAATCCCACCAGGCCTTGCCAACAGGATCATTCCCAGAAAGCTCGGGGATCCAACGATTAGCTGTTATGACAGCAAAATCTTCATAAATACACGCCATGTGCATGGCAACAATGGCATGGAAAAGAAATGTGAGAGAAGGTTTTCTGAAATGCAAGATGAAGACAACATTTTTGTCTTTGCTGCATGTAAATTATTTCTAGTTTCAAGTCCCTCATCCTATCTTATCCAGGTTTCTTTTTAACTCAAAATATATATAAATCTCTCTCTACAGAGTGAAAACAGCTTGACAAGTTATAATATTATTGAAAGAAAAAGAACCCACAATATCTAGAATCTGGTATCACCTGAAATAGATACAGTGCAATAACATTTTCATCTTATTCACTCACACAAAAGTTGAATTAATGTCAGCGGCATTAAGAGCAAAGAATACGTACTAGTGACTAGGTTAGTCAATCACAACCTCCAGCACCCTTGCTGCTTAGAGGCAGATTTAATCATGTCACCATAGTTTCTTCAGATACATTTACTGAAAGATTTTTAAAACGGCACCTGTCGAAAAAACTCTTCCATCAGGGCCATGGTCCACCGGTAGTGCAGTTTCCAGGATTTTGCTGGATGGCTTATATCTGCTGCGTGTAGAATCAAAGACATGGCTTTGGCTTTGTCTATCCTGTCAAATCAAGGACATGCTCCAATTATCTCAGAACAAAAGCAACTAGTTAACATCTTTTCTTGGACATGAGTTCACTTACAGACGACATATAAAGAGCAGAATGGAAAATAACCTACCCCTCTGTCTGCTGCAGAGTATGTCGCATTGTTTTAATTTGCTGAAAATGACCCGACATATCTGTAGACAAAACCATCTCAATGACCAAGCTACGCAACTCCCTAAGAATAATTAAAAGCAAAATGAGTTATTACAATTCATTTATTCTACATACAGAACATTTATTTAAGTAGCACTTGTTAATTTATAACAATCCACGTTTTCTATTACATTTTAAAAAGCTTTTAAATAAATTATTAACTTGAATGTTGCATCCTAAATGGACTCTGGAAGCAAAAAATCCATGCTGCAATTATTTCAGTCACGGTGTTTTGCAATTCTTCTTTTCTAGTGTATAAACCAAAATTACATGCAGTTCTATCATCCCCCTTTTTTTTTCCAGCATTAGATTAACAACAACAACAATAAAGTTGTCTCTGGCCCCACCACCATACACATTAGTGTTTTATATTACTATTCTCACCCTGGTGAAGAACAGGCACAACAGTAAGCCCAGTGAGAAGGTAAGTGTGGAGACACTTAGAAGCACTTAAAATGTTATGAACATTATGTCAATATTATGAACATGATGTCAAACTCTCTCAACCTCTAGAAGTCCTTATTGCCTATTACATGAGTCAGAACAAGTTCAAGATTCACATTTTATCTGTATCTTGATATTACAGCCAGAGATGATGCTTGTCCATTAGTTTTCAATTAAATGAATATGAAAATAGTAAAACATATATCATGTGAGAAAGCTTATTAATTATCATGGTATATGAAATTACTTTTTGTCACCAGTAATTGCTAATTTGGAATATGCAAGGATTGTATGTAGACCATGTAGGAGTCCACCAGCTCTTTGTCAACATGCTCTTTACATGGCCTAGAGGGATTTACAGGCAAAAGAGGGTTGCTTCTAGGTATTGGTGGTGAGGGGAAATCAGCCACATTAAATCTTTGTTTATGTAGCTTACATCTTCACGAGTGTGCCTCCAGGCTTGAGGATGCTTTCCTTAAAATACCAAGATCTGGTGTGATATGGCAAAGAACTGACAATGATTGTTTACTATTAGTCAAAATATTAAGTACAAAAGCAGAACCATGAACTGATAGTTCATATTTTATCCCAATCTATGATTTATTCAACATAGCATTTTCTCAAATAAATGTGTTTTAAAGAAGTAAGTTTTCTTTAGGGCTGTTACAGTAATTTATTATAAAAACTATAAAGAGTGCTTGTTAGCCAAATTAATTGCATATTTAAGTTGATAACCCTCATTGATTTTCATGTATTTGTTCCTGATTTGCTTTTATGTAACAGGATAAAGACTTAGTCCTCTCACTTCTACTCAAATAATAATAAACAGCCGCCCTCATTGATTTTCATGTATTTATTCCTGATTTGCTTTTATATAACAATATATTGACTTCTACTCAAATAATAATAAACAGCCATAGCAACTTGTGCTTAGAAAATGCCTTACCTTAACTGACCTTATAATGAGATACTAATTAATTTGCATGCCAACTGTTCCTCCTCCACATTGCTTTTAAACTGCACTCTTCAAACATACCCAAACCCATTAAAAATAAAAATATAGAACAGCTAGACACTGAATGAAAACCAAAGGCTCTGGATTGTTAAGTCCTATCGATTTTAAAACTGAAAATAATTACCACTCCATTACCACTCCCTCGTTCTACAGCACCCTCTCCTAGGAACTTTTCAGGACTCAACTTTAAGAATTATCAGAAATAATCCCTGTCCTATTCCTCAAAACACAGAAGCAAAATTCTCCCTGTAGTGGATTCACATTGTCACAGCAGGTGACAAACCCAAATTCTGAACCTCCATCTCCAAAGCAGGGGATCAAACCAAGTAGCACTCTTCACACACTTGGCAGGATTTGGAGCCACATACCTGCCCTCCAATCATCCACAGAGAGCTGGAAAGTCCAGAATTGACAGGGAAATGAGAGCCTTCCCAGAGATAGGAAAATACAGTGCACCTTCCCTGCATGGAAGACTACTTTCAAACTCAAATCACTTCCAAACCACTTCTCAGGGGCAAGAGACCCTCTGAACTTCACGATCAAAGATGACCCCAGCTGGTCTCACAGACAACCCTTGAAGAGAAATCACTGCCCAATTTATTAATTAGTATACAGGACAATATAGCTAGCCTGCTAAGGCAAGCAAGGCAAAATTACACTTAGTTCTTGCGATCTGATTTCTGGAATGAGAAATATAGCAGCACTCACATATCCCACACAGACACTGTTTCAGGCTCAAATATAATTGAAAGAACACTGTTCTTGTGCATACAAACTCCATTTCTAAGCAAGCAGTCATGTCCTAGTCTCTCTTTCTTAGCCTTTGCATATCTATATGTCCTATGGGTAGGACACTGTAAACAGTTGGGTGCAAGATAATGAGAATGAACATGAATAATCCTGTGATAAATCCCAGAAAAGGAGAAGCACATGAATTTCTCAAGAAAATAGTTAACCAATAACCTGAAACCAGCTTGGCCTGGATTAATCCATGACAAAGACATTTAGTAACCTGGATGCTAATGTTAATGTAAGCAAGAACCTAGGAACAGGGCGGGTTGAGCAGAAGCAAGTTGGGAGGTAAGAATCTTCTTGCAAGTTAGAGCCATCCTGCCTTCCCCAGACAGGAGACTCCCAAGCAGAGAGAAAGAGAGAGAAGCCACTTATGCTAGATATACTGAGATATAATGCATATTGTTTTGTTACTCTTTTCATAGAATTGAGCAAAAGATCAATGTATGCCTCATAAGTGGAATGGCTGAGGATCTTAACTCTATCTTGCTAACTGTAATTGCTGGTATAATACAGAGATGCTAAAACAGCAGAGGTCTGGGAAATCAGAAACGGGGAGATAGGGAGATCCCTGTTTCATTATCTGGGGAGCTGAGGGAGAGAAAAGAGAATATTTTGGGGGGAATGAAGAATGAGAAACCACCATGACATCCTCACCAGAGCGCTGGCAGTCTTTCCCTGCTCAAGTCCAAACCCTATATTTTAAACTTAATTGAACCTGACAGTTTATTAGCGCATTTATGTTCTTAACATTAACATGTAGAAAGGAAAATGTTATACTATAAAACACTCCCATTCACTTCGCTTTATATTGCTGAAATAATTAGCAGAACCACAGTTTAAAAAGGCAAAGGTATTAATTTTTTAAAAAATATAATCACTGCAATTCAAGAAAACAGATCTGACAGTAGTTAAGAAATTAATGAGTGCTAAGATGTACATTAAAAAGTTGAACAAATTATCATGTCAATTTACTGCCAATTTCCTTCACTGCAAAATTCAAAACTGTTAGTCTAATACCATGAATTCATAAAGTTCACCCTAGAAATAACTTGAAATTTGAAAAGCTTCTTTCAAGTGGCTCATATATTAGCCATTGCACTGATAGGGAGTTGCACCTTCTGACAGGGTAAAAGGAATATTTCTGAGTATTAGAAATGAATATCAATACATGACGTCCAAACCTGACCCTCTAGATTAGGTAACATACCACAGTTCCACAGGTTCTGCGGATGCTCAGGCTGGCACTTTGGAAGTTACAGGTTTGTTTCAAAGTCCATACTGCAAGTTCCTAGCGAAGTGACTAACATGGCACTGAGAGTCCTGGCTTAGCTGCTTAATCTTAATCAGGTTTCACACATCTGTTCTAAACTGTATTGGATAGCCCTTCAAAGAGGATCAGAAATTCTACATTCCCTGGTTCCTGAAGCCTACTGCCTTTAAACAAGCTGCAAGGGTATACGAGTACATGGCACCTGTGCAACCACTTTATACAAACAAATCTAAAATAAATTGCTCCAGGAAACTCAGGTTGAATTACAGTGAGAGAAAAGTGAAAAGGAGACAAACACATCTGGATTGAAATACTCCTGAAAGACCATGTTAGTTCATGCTCAGCCCAAAAACCAGAGAGAAAAAAAATGCATCAGAAGTAGTGAGAGTAAAAGGGTCCAAAACTGCATGACGACCAAGTGCTCTGCATAGATTATTTCATAAATACACAAACAATCTATAGCATGCTTCTCCATTCTGCTGCAGTCCACTGCAAATTCTTACCTCTACACACTGAAAATTTACAAAAACAACAACAAAAAATAACAGCCTCTGATGGCTGTCTAGTGGCACAAACACTTTCTTCATACTCTGTGGCTAGAACTAGGGTCACAGAGACTCTATGAGCCTCAAAGGAATTCCCAGCAGAACAACAGTGACTCATGTTGGCAGATTTGACTCTGCAAGAGAACTCCTGCTCAAGTTTACAAACCATTTCCAGAGCTTGTTCTGCAGAACTAAATTTATAATTAGAACTTTATAACAACTAAATGCAAATTAATATCCTCTGAGAAGATGGGAAAAGCGTATGATTCCTCTCTCACATTATATAAAATAAAACACATACTTTCATATTAAGTGTATGATCATGAAAATAGTAAAATAATGTAGGTCTACCATGTAAAGAAGTCCTTCATTTTTAAAATACACCAGGCCAAAGTTTGATCTCAAACTCACATATTCCTTCATAAATATATAGTTGTACAAAAATACAAATAGATTAGGTTTGTTATTTGAAGTGACATCACTGACATCGGCATATTTTTCTGGATGCAGAAGATATTATTTGGCTTCAAAGTCCAGTTATTTAAAAGTTATTTCAGGGATCTCTGAATGTTAGTTATATTTACAGGAACAAACAGAAGTCTTAATAACTGAAGTGTTGGTCTGTGAGCTGTGTAGTACAAAGACAATATACCTTTCTTAATAACGGAGAAAGTCATAGCTCTAACACTTCAATCTTCTGGAACTTGGTATTTGTGACATGTCAGTTATGATCCTGATTCTTTTGGATGGTCAAATTTTCTTTAGGAATTACATTAAAAAATAGAAAGGAAAACAAAATATTTCTGTAGTGTAGCTGAGCCTTTACTTGATAGTTCACTTTTTAATGCTTAGCCAAGAGGCAACTATGCTGTGCTGTGTCACAGAGCAGAAATAACAGAAGCAGAAATAGAACAGAGCAGAACAGAATAACAGAGAATAACAGAGCAGAAATAAAAGGTTGCACTACAGAGCTTTCTCAACTGAGGCCACGTATTGTGGCTCACCAATACACAACTCACTTAGGAAACTGTATGGAGCCTCCCATAAAGCACTTTACAGCAGCTTTCCCCAAGCTCTACATGTCTGTAACTCCTGGTACAAAACTCCTGTAACTCCTGGTACAAAAGTTTTCTCCTGTAATTTGACCTTTTAAGACAGACTCCCCAGGACAGGAGATTTTTAAAATTTTTACCCACTGGAATAATGCTTGAATGTCACAGTAGGTCTTACCTCCAGTCATCTTTGTTTAAATTTGCAAGGATGTTCATCTCTTCTTCTTGCATGAGCCTATAAGCAGCACTCACATGATGATTTTCAAGAACGGAACGATCATTGTACAATATTGCAACATCTGACCTATATTAAAAAAAAAGCACTATTTGCAATAGAACACTCACAATGGCATTGGAGAAATTAGGAATGAATATTCTTGGTTATATATCCAAGTAATTTTATTTATTCCTACAGAACAGATAAAGTTGCTACACTAAAGCTATGAAAATTTATCATCATAGTAACTGTATGTTTGTTTGGAGGACAGACATAATTCTAAATGCGTAATATTGTATTTTCATAATATGACCATAAGAAAGTTTATGGGGAGAGCCTTGGGTTTCTTACTACAATTAGTGAAGTTACATACAGATTTTCACACACTTTAATGCATATGAATTTATAATACTTATCCTCAAACTTAAAGAATTCTCTGGGACTTTATTTCGCCCTGTGATCTGCCCTGGTAAGGAGCTTTAAGTTTCCCCCTCCTGCTAGTCCTCGGCTCAGCTAAAACTGTTCCTGAGTATTTCCATTTGGACTGGAGGCGACTGACAGATCTGTGCTCCAAGATAGGTGTGATGATTTAGCAGCTCAGTTTGCCGTGATGCTAAGGAGCTAAAATCAACCCCCTTGGGCTGGTGAGCATAGTAAATATCCACTCTAATCCTTCACATACATGGTATGGTGCCAAGGAATCTAAAAAATTAAAACTGGATTGGAAAGTTTCCTTAAAGTAATAAAGTATATCCTACTGAAATAATTAGTATGTTTATGTCAATAATCTTAGTAACATCATGGGAAAATCTGCGATCTGCCAATCACTTCGGCACACTTTGACCTGCAGAGCTAATCACGTCTGGTTTTAATCACTGCTGAGATTTGACATGGCTATGAGGGCTATTTCATCAGCTTTTCTGAGGCAAAAGACACTTGGAAGCATGGCATGGGGATGTCATGGCAGGGTCAAATTCCACTAGGAGAGAGGAAGGAGTTGAATCAAAACAAATACCTGTTGGCAACTACGTACATGTAAAAGTCAAAGTTTAACAGCTTAATTCATTTTCCACTTTTGCAATACTTCAGAGCAAAAATATTACAGACAAAAATAGAAAAGGAATATAAACTTGGAACTAAAAATTGAAGTTTATTTTTATCCAGACTATGCTGAAGAGGAGGCTTATGTATTTATTTCAGCTGTGGATCTTGAATTTGTTCATTGCTGAAGGGCATATCCCAGTGCACAAGTATGTCATGAATTTAATTTAAATGCAGCCCTTGGACACTTTATCTTTCTAGGTAAGCGGGAAGATACTTCTATTCATTTTTACGCCAAGCAGTGTTTCTTGCAGTCCATAATGATTTACACTCTTGCTTAGAGCTTTTTTTGTTGTTGTAATATGCTAGTGCTCTGCTGAAAATTACTGAAAAAGGGCAGGTTAAGCTGAATTTTCATCTGAGCATATTCTGGAAAAAACACAGCTAAGAGAGGGAGAACAACTTGTTGCACTGGGTTAAGTATTGGGCACACAATCTGTCACTGACCAAAGGATTGGTCAGTGATTTTCGTTTGATGAGCTAAAATACTTTAATGGAGACATATATATTACTTTTTTCAAATTTACAGAGACCTCATTGAATTTATAGAGGGCAAGGAAACAATTTATAAAACAAAGAATCATCTAGCTATTCCCTGGAGGTATAAGTACGAAACAGTTCAGAAAAACGAACAGCTAATTTCAGATATGATACTCTCTATTTACCTTGTCTGAATATGAAAATTATTTGTGGTCCCAGTATGTTCATAATCATGGACAGCAGCTGCAAAGATCATTGCCAAAATTTCCAGTTCCGTGAGCCAGTGCTAACAAATGAAAAACAATTCTTAGTTCTACTTTCTGTAAGAGCCTATTAGATTGAAGACTGCAGTAATTAAAATGTTTTGCATTACCTTTGACTTAAATAAGCCTTATTCTTTTACTATTCCAGGTGACAAAATACATCCACAAAACTTAAATATTATACAGTAAAATAACTGCCTATATATATTATGATTTCTGTAGTAAAAAGTTATAGCCCTTATGATCACGAGCAAAGTAAATACTGACTGTCCAAAAATACAAGAAGTTACTAAGAAAATTGTGTGATATATTTAGGAGTTTTGAGTAGGAAGTATATAATCTGCTAGTCAATAAGTAGCATTGAAAAATTATGGCAAATTCATCTAAAAACTTGATATACAGTTTTAAGCTTTTAATTTGTCTTTTAGAAAACTATATATGTAGTATTTTATTGGGTACAGCATCAGCATTAGCTAAATTTTGACAGTATTATAATATTGAAATCAGGCCAGCAGGAGGGTTTTCTGTTCCAAACTATACTATACTGTACACTGTAAGACAAAAATATCATGCATAAAGGTACTATACAATTACACAGAGCAAAAAAGCTAGTATAGATCATCTTCTATACAAAATAATAATCACTCAAATTTTTATACCTCTTACTAACTGATACTGTTCTGTTGCTCTGTTTGTAAACACCTTTGTTGTTTTACCTCTCTGTTTTCTTGAATGATAAATCATTTTTTAGGATAAAATTTAATCCTTTTAAGAATAGGGGTAGAAAATTATCTTCATCCTTTTGCATCCATATATGCACATGCATGTAAATGCTGGGTTGGTCATACCATATAAAATGTATAAGCTGCCATAAGCAGTACAGTCTTTTCAAAGAACAAGATACGAGTCAGTCAAGTTTCATAAATAGTGTGAGAACGATAAAATATGTCATTAAAAGACAAAATAAGATTGCTGAGGAACAAAAAGTACTGACTGGTTGGTGAGGCTGTATAGATTTTAAAAGGGCACAACTAAGGAATGAGAAAGTACTGTAAGCAGTTCCAAAAATAGAAACGATGACCTTCATAGTATTGTGTGTCATAAGAAACCAGGCCATGAACTAGTACTGACTTTCACAATGTTTTCAGCATACCAATGAAATAGAAACCCAGAAATTATTAGCAACTAAATCTAAACGTAAACACTGTCTTTAAGCTGCCTTTTCAGAAATCGGCTTTTTTAGCAACCCAAAGAGTTGCTAGACAGTACATCTATAATTAGAAGAGAGTTCCTTACAGACAACAGCTATGGCCTACAGAGAATCTTCGCTCAGTCCTGCGTGAGAGCAAGTTTTGTAGATACTCTACAATCAAAACTCAGTTCAGTGAGTCAGAGAATAACTTCAGCTAAGAGATTCCTAAAGAAACAGGAGATAGCACTTAGAGGAAGAATTAGAAGGTGTTTTTTTCAAAGGGAAGGGAAACAGTAGTCCCTCATACACAGAGATCTGATAGACTCCAAATGGCTGGACCTTACTAGGTGGAAAATATTATGTTACTCAGGTGTTACGCCTATTGGAAAAGATCTCTTCTATTCAGAGGTGTTTTGGAGTATTGTAAATTGTTTCTAAGTAAAAAGATCATATTTCAACTTTTCTTGAGCTCTTGTTGGAACTATTTTTTAAACAATGGTGGAGTAAAAAATGAATAAGAAATGGAGTCTCACAATATAGAGATTTTTTTCCCTTAATTTGAGCAATACAGGTGCGTGGGAGGAGAAAAGGGGTGGTGGGAAGCTGATCGATGACTCAAAAGTTCTTAACAAGATGTGTTCCCTGGGAACTAGATTCTTAAATCTTCACAAAGTTGAATACTTCATATATGCAAGTGTGAGATACACATTTCATTTGTAACATCTGTGGTTTAACCACAGGGTTTGGTGAGTTTAATAGATTGTCTGCCATATATGAGCTAACTTTCTAACACATTGATCTGAGGTGGCTGAATATTCCTTTTTTCTCTCTTTTTTTTTTTCTCCAGAGGGACAGCCAACACCTTTTGAAAAATATAATGATAATTTTATCTCTTGAAATAAGCTACGGATATGAATATGAGTATGTGAGTTATTCATCACTGAAGTCTTCTCTATAAACTTATGGAGAGGCACAAGCTCTGACCAGCTAAATATTTCAGCAAATGCCAAAATATGGCTGTTTTTCCAGTGCCTGTAAAAGATAAAAAATGTATGACTTCAAAAATAGAAATTGTGAAAAGGACTGTCTAAAGCTTAGCTTTTGGAAACATCTGCTTCATACATCTTTCAGAAGTGAACAAGATAGCAGTTCTTTGCGAGATTGGGGAATGAATATCAGCTCCTTAAGATACAATGAAAGTGCAAGAATTTCAAATCATATGTCAATCCGCACAACTCTCACAGGCATTTGATACAGAATTACGTCAAAGGTAAGTGACTCATTCCAAGTACTTGTTAGAAGATATGGCAGAGTTAAAAGAACTGTTAAAGCAGACAGAATCTGCATACAATTAGCTTGAGAACCCAGCTTCAAGCTGTTACTGAGTGAGGGTCTGTAAGGCTGAAGTTAGTTAGCTACACTAACTAATGGGGGAAAAAACAAAACACCAAAAGCAAGGCTGAAGTTAGTTAGCTACACAATGGGGGAAAAAACAAAACACCAAAAGATAAACAGAACATGTGTGCACTATCCTGATGAGATCTCAAACTACAAGTGACATTCAGGACAGAACTGCTTTGCAAGCTGTGGAATCAAAATGGCCTCTTTCAAACACTGATTGCACTGTTCACTGTTTCACTACTTCACAAATACAAATCAGATGCAATATACACACACACACATTTTTTAAGTGAAGACTGAATTCTTCAAAAAGTCATTGGCAGAATCATGCATTTTCTCAGAGTCAAGTTTAACTTTTGTCTTAAGAAAATCAAGAGTAAATAAGATGACACCCATTCACGGGATTAAATGAAAGCATTTAAGACAAAGATGTTTCAAGAGGCTCACTTCAGCTTCAAAGCTGTTTGGATATTCCAATTTCCTTTCTACTACAGGCAAGGGCAGCAGGGCAGGGTGCAAGGGCAGCCCTAAGGAGTTATCCCATGGAAGGGAAGCAGAAGCCTGCAAGGATTCCGTACACCCTTCGACGGCCCAGCCCTCGGCAGATCCGGCGTTTCCCTGCCTGATCGCACCTCCCAGGCACCCATGCGGAAGGCAGAATTCTCACCTGCCCACTCCTGCATATGTATTGCTTTTCATATGATACTCCCAAACCCAGAGAGTGAAAAGCCAGAAGGATTTGGGGAGGATTTTTTCCTACTTTTTCCTCAGCATTAAGAGAATTGTAAGCTGGAAGAACTGTTCAGATGACAAAGTTCAGAGCCTGAATGCTAGTTTGATCAGAATCCCTATCTGAATAATTTTTCAAGAGAGCAAAGGGACACATATATACATTCACCCAAAACAGCAGAGGATCTGAGAAAAAAAAATGCAATGTTTCTTACCATGATACCAGTGTGAATCAGGATGTAATGCACAGTTTGAGTAACATCAGCTGCGTGGATCAAATTGTGATATGGATTTTTGAATTTGCTGTAACCAACCTCAAGTGCTTCAGCAAATGAAATAAGATTGGGAACAGGGATCTGGGGGAAGCAGAAAGTAGAATACAGGTTTTATTTTTTTTCCACTAACAGCTGCAAAATCAGTCATACAATAATTAAAATACAAATTAATTAACCATAGAATTTAGTTTTAACAGAGCAACAACAAAGCAATTTAAATTTTCTTTAAAAGTCTATAAAATCTGCATCAAGGAATCTTCTACTAATTCTTGTAGTTGCATAGATTGCTTATGTAATAAAGGCATGACAAATAAGAGTCTAAAAATAGGGTTATTTTTCTTTGTTGCCTTTACCTTCCTCAATCAAGATTTCCTTGACCCTGACAGTCCTCCTTCCCTTCCTGTACACAACACGAAATAAAGGCACTGTCTAGCCATGACATTTTTTCTATCTAGTTAAATTACACTTTTCTTAAGGTGTTTTTTCTTCATTATTTATTTACCTGAAAGATAAACACTGAGACAGGGCTTGAGCCCACTGAGCCAGTGACATTGCATACTTTCTGATTACACTGTTAACGTAGCTCTGATGTGATTCTGGCTTCAAGCAATCACGGCATTCATGGGAAAAGCTGAAGTAAGTCCTGTTACCAGGCAAAGTCAAGTTATGCAGGGCTGACTGAGGCTTTTCAAATGGTGCACAGAGTTTTGCCATGGAAGAGTTTTGCAACTCTAATTAAACTTTTATTCAGTGATATTATAATGATAAATTTGGCACTTGGGTCCATTTTTTTATCCTAGCCTTTCAAAACAGATCATAAATACTCCATATGATATTGGGACACCCTGTACACAGTGCTGCAAAGCCTTCTTCTCTGGATAGGTCATCAAAGTTGGTTAGGAGAGGAAGGTTCAACTGAAACTGTCACAAAGTTTGGTTCAACTGAAACTGTCACAAAGTTTAGGGCAACAAACTGTAATCCAATGTTCAATCTGCCATGTTCTTTGAAATTCCACAGTCCACTGTACAATAAAATATCATTTCAAACATATTACAGCTTTCTAATATTTTAAATCTGACATACTTATTTCTGCACACATATTTTTATTTGTGGCTACTTTCTGACCTTGAAACGGCTCAAAAGGTCGTATCGGGTAAACAGTTCATACATCATAAATTTCAGACTGTGCTCTCCGCTTGCTTCATTTAGGGCAAACACGTCAAAAGACCATTTATCAACATCCTGTAGATGAGAGGAAGAGGAAAAGAACATAAAGTTTCCCAAAGTTTAAGGAGATTTCCAGCTTTTCGGGTTGTTTTGCTTGCTTGTTTTATCATTTAAGTCTCTCAAACTGTCAGTGTAGGCAATACATTTCTGACTATTTCAATAGAAATGATAAAAATACTTGTAACATGAGCCATGCAGCTTTGTACGCTGAGAAGCCAGGCCTTAATCTTTCACATTAAAGTTTCTATTGAACCTGCTGAAGCTATTTGAATACTCGCCTTTTAAACAGGCTATCATGCAATCTGATTATCTGTATAACAACCTGTGAATAATACAGCAATGCCTGACTTTTTCTTTTCTTTTTCTTTTTTTTTCAAGAAATATCACTTTAATTGCATACTCTAGCCAGAGGAACTTTAACATTATAAGAGATTGCCTTTAGGTTGAACTGTACTGATGCCTCAAATTTCCAGCAAATACTGTATTTGGTCCATATGCTTCAGATTCTTTTGTTAGCTCTGTCCACATACTACTACTCTTTGCTTCCTTTTTAGGAAAGAAAAAACACAGCTCTCTGAGACACTGATTATCATACCACTGGGAGCTGGTAAAACCACATATCTCATATTTTAATTAAAAATTCTATTCAAATTTTATCCTATTGCTCTACTACCATCTAAATGCAGTCATAAATAAACAGGGAAACAAACAGACAGATGCTTTTTTTTTTGAGAACTTTTAACCCTTGCATTTCTCTGTTGTCTTAGTTCAGAACTATTAAAGATGACTAGGGTACGTTCAGCAGCAAAATACACACATTTCATCCTAAAAGCCACTAAACTGGAGTACATATACATCCAAATTTCACAATAATTAAACTTATTTCACCTTAAATGTTACTATCACTTCTGCTGGGTAAGCCAAACCAACCATGTTAGAAGTTCTTCGGTACATCCTAAAAGAATGAATAAGATAATAAGTAATAGCATTTCTTTAAAAATTATTGGAGCAATCTTTTTTTTTTCATTCATCTTTAATAGCCTGTGAAATAATATTAAACTATTTAAGCTCTGATCCCAAAGATGACCTAAGTCTTTTTATAAGCGTCATGAGAAAAGCCCTTCTGCTGGCATTATTACTGTTATTAATATTACTGCAGTATTTGGAGCTTTTTCATTGTAGAAATTTACAAACTATAAAGTTTGCCCTAAATTTTTACTAAAATCTAGAAGATTCCATTCAAATCCAGAGGAGAGAAATTGTGGAAGTGAAACATAAATCCCATCTCAAAGATTCGCTTTAGGCTTGGCCTACCACAAAAAGCATCTTTAGTGGAGAGAAACTACATTTAAATCTTCTTCTCTTTATAACAAAAAAAAAGCCACAGTTCTCACCTTTCTACAAAAATTCCTGCCTGTACAGCATGTACAATGCTTCGGAATTTGGGCTTTTCTTCAGGTCTCCTCTTCACCATTCCCATTTTCCTCGTGAATGTAGAAGCTAACCAGTCCCGCACTTCCAGGGGCACCGAATCTGACTGGATGTCAGAGAGCTCATCCTCAGTGTCCAAAAGCTTTCTACAAGTAAAAGACAATTGAGAAGATGGCAGAATGGACAGCTAACAATTTAACCTTTTCTCTGATAGGCATACAAGGCCTCCAGAAAGTGAGACACAGTGGACATCCATCCATTCTTGCTCTCTTCACATTACAGCAACTAAAAAATATTCCAATGCAAGATATTCAAAGGCAAATGAGAGTTTTCTACAAAGTTGTCATAGCTTTGACAGTCACACAGGACTGAAGTGTAATTAATGAGTTAGAAAATCTTGAGGAAATTTCTAGCTATTTGCTTTGCATCACTCAATCTACTGTTTTTTTTTTTTTTAACTCTTATATAAGTTCTTATATATTCAAATAAGAAAACTTCCTTATGTAATTACAGTTAGGATGAACTGAACATAGGTAAAGTCATTATTTTTAAATATTTGAAAAAAAAAGTGTCATACCAATTTAATTGGAGACACTATTTGATTCAATTTTATGGACTTATTTCTCTCGTGAGGTCTTTTCGAAACTCCCTTATTTGTACACAAAGCACTGGACAAACTATTTTTGTTTATAATTCGCTTATCAGGCAATCTAATTGTCAAATTGAAATCTCTTTTCCTGAGCAAACAGGATTCCTGGGAAATATACTTGAGGGAAATTGGGTTAACACCCTTTGCAGGTGGTTGTATGGAAGAGAAAAAAATCTCTCTTCCCTTTCCATTTTCATGTTGTCACCTCTGCTGTCTTTTCTGTCTTCTCCTAGAATAACTCTCTTAATTCTTCCCACTACTTGTGCACTCGCTCCTCATATTTATTCACCACCTCTTTCACTCCTTCACCCTTTTTTGCTTCTCTTCATCACCAATTCCAAAACCTTGCTCTTCTCTGGCATATAGAAGAAGTCAGTAGAGACATGGATGATGAAAAAAGCCCAAATATCTTTATTGCAAAGGACTCCCCACATGAATATAATACTTTCTGAGGGATTAGAGGTAAATGCCTAGTAGAAAGCATGACGCTAATACTGCTATTCAAATTACTTATGAACAGTTATTAAAGTATTTGTGTGCCCTGTTCTCAGTTCCAGCAGCTCATCTGTCTGTCAAGATATTTTGTGAGATTTGTTAACTGGAGGTTTTTTTTTTTTTTAAAAAAAAAAAAAGGTCCACGAAACATGAATGCCATAAAACACCCCCAACATCACCACTGCTTCCTGAAAGGGTAGCAGGTATGGAACATAAGATTGATATACTACTAAGTATCTTTAATAAAAGGTGCAAAAGGAGCACACTGGACAAAAATTACAAGACTTTTGTAGCAGTGGGACACAGGCCAAGAACTAATAATTTACAGGAGCACCATTTGTGTAGAAGGAACAATTCTGGCAAATGCCTTGCAGAATTGAACTATGGCTGATACTAGCCCTAGGTCAAAGGCGATAAATTGATTTTATTCCCCAAATTAAAAACTATGTTATACTTTACTTAAATCCCTACTAGTCTAACATTGTTATAAAACATCTTTAGGGAGATCAGTATGTTTATATTTCTGAGGAATATTTGGTCTTTGATGTAATTGTCATAAAAATCAAGAATACAACTTACAGTCTCGAAGCATTTTTATAACTGTTTGAACTGTAACTCAAAGTGAGACGAAATTATTGCAGTGAAAGAAGCAGCATGGGCATCAAGCTCTGCACGAGCACGTACTGGGAATACTCCCCATCACCTGGGCAGCACCAAGAAGAAAATCTGAAGCTACGGCCTGATGCAGATCTGCATCTGGGACCAGGTTCTGAGCTTTGCAGAAACAAGCACTGTAATTGGAATACAATCTCTAAGAATTTGCAATCTCTAAGTCATTGCATTTTTCTTGAGCTTTAATACAGAATTGCAAGTGAGTGGGACAATAAGTGAGATTTTAGAGCAGGGGGTTGTGAGGTAAACAAGAAAATCATTCTGGAAGAGCAGAATGACTGCGAAACAGAGTTTCTGGAAATACAGACTCTATTAATGCCAGGAGTGTGCAAGGTTAGCATCCCCTGGATTTTAAACATAAAATGCAGTTTCCCTCAGACTGAAAATATTTCGGGGAGGTTTGACCCTGTGAAGCTGAGACACCAAAGATGTATAAGAAACTTGATTACAAATAAGTATACATTACAAAATAAGGGAGCAGGAGAATATAGAAACCCAAACTTCAGTGAACTGCTTCAGTGAGCATACATCCAGTGAGTATGAATTAAGGGTGGCAAGGTTCACAACACTTTCTCCAATCTTTTTAATTACTCATCTCTAAAGCAGGAAGACCATTCACTCTGCATATTACAGTTAATAGAATCCCTTTATGAAGGCAGAAACAGGAAAACAGAGTTTTATTTAACCAAAATTCTTCCCTTTGTTCAGTTTCCTGCTCTGAGCTTCACACTACAGGAATAAGACCATTTCTCTCCAATAGCCAAATAACGTTTATGTGTGTGAGAGAGATGCTAAGCGTCTCCATTTCCAGACAACCAAGAAAGCAACAATTATACCCCAGAATTACACTTTAAGCATGATCCTTTCCAAGTATAAGCTGTTACAGATCCCTTGATGAGGTATCTTCAACATAAAGCCTTCCTAACTTTTCTAGAAGAATTAGGTTCTCTCAGAAGCCTAACTGAAAGAACATTTAAAGAGAGAAAACGAGGACGAGTCATTCATCTGGTGACTATTTTATGTGCTTTCCTAACCTTTTGGAGAAACAGATTCCTATTATGGGAAATTACTCATGGTATATGCACTGCTAAAAACGGCCTTTGAATAAACTCACTGATGTCTGCCATTATTCAGTCATTACAGTGACAAGGCTCATATGGATCTAAACAGCTGGATAGTTACATGGATCTCTAATTTGACAGTAATTCTATTTATAAAGGGAAATAAATTAGGCTATTTATTGCACTACGTAAACTATGCTTAATTTACCACAAATTGCTGCAAAAAAGCAAGATATTATCAACTTTCATGATGTAACTTTTGGATATTTTAGTTATGTACTTATACCTAGATTAAAAATATTTCAATTACATTTGTGTCTGTGCATAAACATGTTAGATAACTCCTCTGTATTCAGTGAAATATGTCTGTAAAATAACACAGATAAAGTGAATTTATATCCTAAAGCCTAAAACTGTTGCACTCTTTTCATCAGTGATTTTACCGATTATTTGCAAAATACGCATATAAAAAGATTACTAAATGTAATTTAAAGAAACAACTCTTCTGCAGAAATATTATCAGAACAGGCACACACCAACCAGAAGCGATGACTACCTTTTCACCCTGTGGGTGTCAGTTTTTGATTTTGAGGGGCCACAGTTTGCTTTGACGGCACTCTTGTCCCTCTTGTCCTGAACCATTTCCCAGGCTGCTTGCTGAGCCCCTGCACGGGTGTAGGTCAGCGCGTTGACTCCATCGGGCAAAGCGCCAACGCGACAGGGATTGTGAGGTTGCAGTACAGATACCTCTGACCACTGCAAAGCAATCACTGCTTTGGATATGTTCTACGCTTACTGCAGTTATTGGGCAAAATAATGATCAGAAGTTTAATATTACACTTCTATTTCTGAGGAATTATATTACTGGTATTTTAATTTACATCTACTTAGAAGTGACAAATTTGACTCTTTTCATTAAAATGGGAAAGAAAGATACAGGTTGGTTTTTGTCTAGTGCAGGCCCAAATAAATGGTAAGTGTAAGTTCTGAGTTACTTCCACTCCCCCTCAATATAAAGTCAGAATTTCAAGGTTACACATGCTTGTTTCTCCAATATATCTTTCACTTATTAAACAGAGACAACATGTGGAAGAGACATGTGGGGAGAGGGGAAGCCAGGGTTATTTAATCCCATTTGTTCCGTGAGTGGAAGTCCCATTGGCAGTAGTGGCACTATGCGAGATATGGCCCAAGGCACTTCAGCTTAGCAATCAATACTGCAGTCAGAATAAATTATAACTGATCTTCTTGTCACAGTACTGTGCTTTTTGCCAAGAATAATCCTTCAAAATGCAAGTTGTGATCATTTCTAGCTCTCTTCTTTTGAACCAGGATTTTAAATATAGTAATGGATTAGGTAGAAGTACATCTCTTCTCCCTAAGGAATATATCAGATGTACTATGGAGGAAAAGAAAGAAAAGAAAATAGAAAAAAAATAGATAATGGTTAAGGAAAAATAAATCCTTCAGTGCTGATCAGTCAGCCTTTCTAATAGAGACAAAGATTTCAAAGAATGCAACACTCTGAAGTATGGAGAAGAGAAATAATTTTCACTTTTGACCTCTCCTCCATTAAGTCACCTCAGAGAGGAATCATATAGTCCACATTCTTGGTAAATGAATACAGAATTGGGCATTTCATTCTACTTGTGTAAAGCTTAAGCTGCTTTTATTTTCCTTTGGATATCCCTAGATTAGGAACAAAAATGTTTTTGAGTGAGAAGTTTGTCTAGTTTCTCCAAATTAAGTTGCATCATTGACCAACTGCCCCAGTATTCTGAGAATGAAATGCAGATTTTTCTTCATAAACTCAAGGAATTTTCCTTCACAACCTTGACCCAAGCATCACCTAACAGTAGAGAAAATTCAGCACAATTTGTTGGCATTATTTATAACACCTGTTGACAAAGCTTGAATCTTTTTCCCTGAGGAGATCTGCTGAGGGCTCAGAGTTGCAAAATACTTTTCTGAATATTTTCAGCTGACAACAAACCTTGGCTTCAGCCTCCAACATACTAGTATTCTTTCAAGAAAATCTTTAATGCAGCTCACAGTTAGACAGTATTGAGAGATACAGCAGTCCTAAAAACTAAATTTTTTTGAAGCAGGTTTATTAATGTAGGAATTTTTAAATGGGATACAGATTAAGCTCATAGGAAAGCAGCTCTTTTTTTCATCTGATATCTCTGTGCTTTTTGCCTCAGCTCAGAAGCTGACAAGAGCATCCTGTGAAAACTTTGTATTTCACTGCTGTAAAATACAGAATATCATCACTCACTGTCCCATGCCCATTTTACATAGTTTAGTCCCTACTGTCCACCTAGATTCTAACAAGTCTACTCTTAGCACGCCATAAATAAAATCTGTTGTATTATTTCTCTGCATTCTGCCCATTCCAATTGGCTATATTTTTGGAAATGGCATATTATATTTATAGCTATACATGATTTTTAAAAATATGATTTTTTTCAGATAAAAAGCTATACTGTAGAGCAACAGAAGACCACACAGAATGAAAATAAGCCCCGAGAAAGACACTTTTTATGCTTGAATTCTACAGACTATTTCCAGTATTACTGTTGTACTCTGTAAAAGTTTCAATGGGTTTACACACATGCCTATGCTGATACAAATACACACAATTTACAGAAAAATACAGGCCTATCAATTCTAAAAATATAGAGAAAAAAATGGGTATCTCTGTCTCTTTTACTTTAAGAAGGTAGAGCTGACAATTGAAAAAACCTCAGACTTACGCAGTGCAAGGTGATTTTGCTGCAGTAATGCCTGAAATTTCTAAGCAGAACAAATAGTTCTCCAGAAACGTGGAAAAGGCCAGGCTCCCCCTTGATCCTTGGCTATGCTACTGAACACACCCTGTCAGAAACTCATGCTTTGCTCCCTTCATTGTCTTAGTTTTAAGTTTTTTTGTCCAGTGAAAAAAATCAGATTGTTCTGAAAAAATGGATGCAATAAATAAATCATATTAAATACTGTTGAGCATCAAGTCAGAGAAATTTATGTAAATATTTCCAAATAATCTAATTAATTAAACTTTGGAAAGTCTTCATTATGAAGTCACAATGCTTCTAGGACTAAAAAAAAAAAAAAAAAAGGAGAGAATGGCCTGTTGGCTCTGAAAATCTTCCAAACCACTGTAAAATAATATATGTTTATTTTCATTTGGACAGCTACATAATCCTGCTGTTCTGTCCTCTGAGGGCAATTAAGATTTGCTCACACTAACGGGAACACGTGTTGCTGCCACAGGTCAGGCATTTGCAGTTTTCCCAGTTCTCTCACATGGAGCCTATAGGATTGGACTCCTCATTATCATAGTTCTATTTATTTCCGCAGTTGTGGTGCTACTGCTCAGAAAGACCTATAAATAACCCGTTTAACCTGATGTTTGAGAGGTGTATGGAAGGAATATTGACCAGCGTTTGACATCCTTATCCACAGCTCTAAGTCCCTTCTGATTAAAAAGTTGCTGCAAACTGAGACTTTCTGGCTTACGTTGTCACATGTTGTCCAAAGACAACTTTTTAATGATACCTTTATATCAGTTTCCCTAAGGAACTGAATCAGTTTAACAACACGTGACAAACGCACACCAGCTTTTGTTTCAAGACAAAAAGGAAACCTAATTGACTTACGTTGGGCAACCTAGCTGAAATACATATAGCAGCAAAGGGATTTAATCTGAATTAACTACTAATAATTTAAAATATTTGATTTTATGCATCTTTATCACAAGTTCAGATCCCCTGAGACTTGCACATGTTAAACCTATGAGCAAGACACCAGCATGACCAACTCTGCCAACCCACTCTCCAACAGGTTTGCGGCAAAAGGAACACAGGTACCACCTCCACTTGCTCTCATTTTCATTCTTACTTTTCCAGCTTTCCTATTGCCCCACGGCAGAACCCCAGAATATTGGCTGATATCCTAGATGTGCGACTCTCACATACGAAAGGAAAGGAAGCAGGGTAACATGACAGCAGTACTTAAAGCACTGTATCAAACATGTTGATTGTCAAGGAGAGAGGGACAGAAAGATCCACAAAATAATTAATGTGTCAGACTTGAATTTAATATAGAACCAAGACTAGACATATGTTTCATATTCAGACAACACTGAAAACATTTTGGCAGACATTTTTAGAAGAACATTCTGCATAGATAGAAAAGTTTAAGGCCACCATAGTGAAATAAAAAAAAAAAGATTTCAAGTTAGTTAGGTACTATAATTGAAGTTAACATCTTACAATTCCTTCAAGAAGTCATATATTTAGAACTTGTAATTTCACTGTAGCCAACCCACATCAAAAATTATTGCCTGCAATAATTCCAGTAGCAATAAACATAAATATATTATCAACAAAACCTCAAACACACAAAAAAAATCACAGTTTGTCATTAATTTTTGGATTTAAGGGCCAAATTCTAATCCTCTGACTCATCTCCACTAACGCTTAATCCAAAACAACTCATTTTGTTCAACGATACAGTTCTCAGCATGATCATCAGCATGTGGCCTTTGTTGGGGATGGAAAAACCCTTCAGAAAAATTCTAATGACTTTTTACTGTGCTCATTTGACCACTGAGGTAGATAAGAGCTAAGCAGACTCTCCAGATAGCAGCTACATTTGACCTTTAGAATCTTCTTGCTTTAATCTTGTCACTGAGAGGCCGAAAAGGCACACACCATTCTCCTGTTTTGCGGAGACCTACAGCTAATGTCAGCTAGAATTATGTGCAAAGGTCAAATGTGGCTGCCTTTCCTCCCACCCCATGTCCCTTTACTTACCTGGTTTCATCGATATAAACTGCCTCGAGCACAGAGGCTGCATATTCAATGTTCTTTTTCAAATCCACCACATTAATGTCACCCTTCTCCAGCTGCTTTACTAAGCATCTTAGTCTGTAAAAAAGAAAATAAAAATATCAGTGCACTGCTTGTATCAAATTTTACTGCATTTCTAGAGACTGTATTTTCTACTTGAAATGCTGGAAGCCAGACAATAGCCAATTTAGATGAAAGAGACCTTCATTGCATTTCTTATTTTTTTTAATCCCTTTAGAACAAGCACCACAGTTGTAAGCGTGCACAGCTGCTCATTGTTAAATCTGAGGTATGGATTAAGAAAACGCTTATGCATTTCAGCAAGTTGTAGAGGACTCACTAACTACTATTGGACTTACTTCACATTTACTTGTACTATGAAGTCCAAGTCTCTAATTTTGATTAAATAACTTTTAAAAATTGCAAAATATCTTACTATAACTCTTCTATGCTTAAAAGGTCTATTGCATTTATTTTCATGTCTTTATTGACTTGACTGCCTGCAGTACATCTTTGCTGCAGAAGTTTTATTTCTTATGAGCATGAGATAATGTGAAACTCCATTGCTTCTGTGTTTACCAGATGAAAGGTGGTGCCTATGACATTTGAAAAATCCAAATATTTTCCCAAGGGTGCTTTTGCTTTTAGCTTTGAGAACATTCTTTTACATTACAAACATGGATACACCCAAAAGAGAATTTGTAATGCATCAGCTCAAGTTTCTGCACAGATAAACTATTTGAACACGAGATTGTTCTTCCTAACCTTTTTGAAGAGCAGAATACTTCTCACCTTGCTTTATTTAACTGCATAGAGCACTCATAGTACCGTAGTGAAATGAAAAGCTTATCAGTAACTGCATAGATTTATGACTAATTGGATGCTTAAAGAGGTTGGGGAATTTTTTTCTTTCTGTGTTCTGTTTCCAAGTTGAAATGAAACAGTTGTTTGTTATGTAACACCAAGATACAGGTTTTTTTTCTTTTTTTTTTGCATTCAAGATACTACATCATTACTTTAAGATTATTTTCATACATTCATATTTTCTTATACTTATGAAATACAGGAAAAATGTGTGAAACAAGTATTAAGTGGATAGAAATTGGCAGTCTGCAATAGTTGATTTTACATTCAGATAAAATCATATTTATGACACATGAAAAAGCAACTATATAAATATATATGTATATAATACAAAATCAGAGATAACAAAAAAAAACAGAGATAATTACTAATAAATAAATTCTAATATAATGGCAATCTGATGACTGTTTTCTTTTATGGGTCAAGTACAGTGTTTGATTGGACCCAATTAAAACATATTTTAAAAAATGGTGTTATTTCAAACAAATCTCTCATAAACTTGCAAAGTCTAACTCCAAAGTTAGATCAAGTTGCTCTGAGTCATATCCACTTGAGCTTTGAGTATCTTCAAGCATGGAGATTCCATCAACATTCTGGGTAACTAGTTTGTGTTTGACCAGCCTCACTGAGAACTATATCTTTCTAATAACCAACTGGAATTTCCTTGGAACAACTTCTGCCCAACATCCTTTGCTAGGCACCTCCAAGAAAACTCTGGCTACAATGGCTTCAGCTACTTTCACTAACTTTGCTAACAAGGATTAGCAAAATGGTTTTACTAGACAGCAAAATGTATTAGGTAGGCTATAACAGTATATAAATGGTCTGTATACACTCAACATATTTTGCATTAAAGCAAAATAACCACGCAGTTTAACAGCTGACATTTCAGTAATGAGTTTAACATTTTGGTAAAGAATAAACATGTCAATTTATGAGACAAAACAACAACAAGTTTTAAAATACTCATATCCCAGTATTTCACAAGACAAGGAAAATTGTAGAAAGGAGGAAGAAAAGCATCACAAGTTAATTATTATTCCAGATGCACTGGACAGGATTTTTTTGTTGATTTGTTTTCTTTGAACTAAGTGTAACGAAGTGAAAAGAAACATGACACATCGTTCATAATCGTGATATACTTCCTAAAACTTGAGCTCATGGTATTACACTGTCTGTGAAACATGCTAAGAAATAATAGTAACAAGAAAAAAAAACTGAATGGGCTAGTAACTGTGAAATAGAATAATGAACTATGCTTAAGTATGAAGAAAACAGGACTTAATACAAAACAGCCATAAATTTGTGGAGAGAAAGAAACATTTCTCTTGGGACAACTGACAGTCTCCTTTCCAAACCAGCAGTCAGTCATGCCTTGAACAATACATCTGTAACTAATAAGTATATGGGTGGAGAACCAACTTTTGCCATACTGGGTAAACACCAGTAACAGAGCTGGGTGATCAAAAGTTTTTACTGGACAGTCCAAAGACACTCTGCTCCCACCTACGTTTACTAGTGCTGTCTGCCAGTGGCAGCTCTCCAGGAACAAGCTCCTCATTCCTCATATTCCCATGGAGCACATACCTATGCCCAGCCACAGCACCCTAAGCCCACCCAGCTACACAGGCAAACCAGGAGACACGGTACCTTTTTGGAGTGGTTCAGAGAAATGCTGAAATATTGTCCTAAACACAGATTACAAAGATAAGATGCTAAGAAGGATTTGCTTAAGGAGGGACATTGTAAAGTAGGGATGCAAAAGAGTGGGACAATTCAGTTCCATAAGTTTCAGACACTGCCGCCTCCTTTTTCCAAAGTAAATTATCAGTGACCACCAAGAATAAAACAAGCCTGTTTCCTCTTATAGTTTTAAATTAATGGGAAGTCACTGTTGAAGAATGGACAAACAACAAATAGTTATTTAAAAGTAATAAACACATACTAATGCTAATTATATAGAAAGAGTTAATAATATTAATATTTAATAACAATGCCACTTTAAAGTGATTTGTGTTGGTGAAATAAACTCCAATTTAATCTGCATATTGTTACATGCCCCAGAAATAATTGAGAAAATCCTAGCTGTGTGCCAAATGTATCAACCACATGAAAAGATGATAAGCAAATACTGACAATGTGTTAAAAAGGGAAAATATGGAACAAATGATTACTTTCCTGTAAGCAATAATTTCAAGGTTTTTCTTATGGTAATTTAATATTGAATGAAACAATTCAGTGGATAATCATAGGCATGTGATTTCACTTCCAAATTAACATCACACATTAAAAATTAGATGATGCATAATCTAAAATAAAAAATAAGAAGGAAAGCAAGTGTGTTAACAATATGGTTATATACAACTTAAACACCTGAAGTAATTTGGAGAAAATGTAAAGCAATCACACTACCTGTAGCAATTCTTTCCATTTGTGACTTAATATTATTTGAATTTTATATTTTTACATAAGACGGATATGTCAAATAAATCCATATCTAAATACATCATGCTTCTCCCAAGTGCTTAAAAGTAACATAGCTCAGAAATAAAAAATGAATTATAATAAAAAAGAAGCACAAATCCATCCTTTCATTTTTTCAAGTCATAAATCCTAATAATGTAAGGATTACTAGAAATCTTTGATCATTACAAAAGAATATAATTCCCTTTGTCTTTTCTGTGAGACAGTAAAAAAAATATGAAAACTATAGACATAATTGTAACATTTGTATTAGATGAATATGAAAGACTAGACCTAATCATATAAATGGATGAGAGATTTCAGAAAAAAATCCGGAATACTTTAACAAAGATTCGGGAGTGATCTGAAAGTCCTGTTTCCACATTCCCACACACAGTTATAGAGTCAGCATCAAACATGGCTTCAAAAGGGTTAACCAGCACTTCAGTTGTCACTGATACAGGGACATTTTGTCAATCAAAGCAAGGCCAACATATCAATGGAGACTAGGATTAGAATTGAGGACTCCTGACTTAGACCTTGCATCTGAGTCAGATTCCAGTTCTCTGGAGTATTAAAAATACACTTTCAAATGTGGTTATCTAATATTTCTTCTAATTAGAGTTGCTACCTCTCAGTAAATTCTGGTACTGTGAAATGCAAGAAAGATATATCACACTTTTAAGTGCAGCAAATGTGTTTTATGAAATTACTTCTCAGTTACTCCTGTGCCTGAGCATATGCACAGGAAGCCTTGTGGTTGCTAAGAGCTTCAAGAACCACATTTATTTCACGATTATTTTAGGCACCATGAGTGGTACAGTCTGATCTGCAATTATGATTCAGTCATTAAAAAATAAATATTGAATATGCTGTTAATTCAGCTAACATTTTGATATTCTGAAACTTTAATCCCATATCAAAAAATGAAACTACAAATTCTGCAGCTATATAACACACATTGGAATTTTGTTAATAATAAAATCCCACATTTTCATGATGACAGAATAGTCTTGACCGTTTAAATACTGATGATAGTTGTGCCAGAGGAACTGCTTTTCTTCCAGACAAGGATTCTTTATTAGGCTTCTTTCATTTTACCTCACTCATCCTATAAATTTTCATGGCATCTAGCACAGCTAAACTATGCAAATATTATCCTTTGGGTCTCATTTAATATCAAATTTAATTCTATTTAAAGACTAAAGCAAAATTTAGTCAAAGCTCCTAAGTTTTCTTTAGCTGTGTACTGAAACCACAGAAAACCACAAGAGGCTTACATGGTTTCCACCTGAAACCATAAGCTGAGCCAAGCTCTCCAAAACGTTCTTGATTTTTAGCATAATTTTCAACCTACCTGACCAAGGAACTTGCATAGTGCCTGAGATGCCGTAGTATACTTGCTTCAGTAATGTTAAAGAGCTGCTATTCACAGCGCTCTAGCCTTTTATCACCACCATCATCATCACCAGCTCCTGCTGCCCTGGGGATACTCCTCCTGCAAGCTCACCTAGGAGCCACTTGCTGTTGTTTTTTCCTGCTCTCTTTCTTTCTCTCCCAGTTATTCATTTTTGCCCACAAGTAACCTTCAGCATGACAGTTGAGCCATGCCATCAGATACAGGCCCCACAAATTCCCATTCATGTTGCACATTCCTCCATGCAACACAAGGCATGTAATGAAACCTTTTCCAGTCAACTAGAAACCTTTTCTCTCACTTCTGCTAATGAATCATCTGTATATACAACGCT